CCTGTTATTTGTGCTGTTGGGAGGGTCTAATCCATATGCACCCATGTGAGTGGTATCTGACTGTGTCCTCCCACCCTGAGGGGTCTGTCATGTTGAGGGGCACACGGACTCCTGGGCAGGGGCTGAGTGGTGTCTCCCGCAGACGTGGATGAGTGCGACCAGGCCCTGCATGACTGCCGCCCCAGCCAGCAGTGCCATAACCTGCCTGGCTCCTACCAGTGCAGCTGCCCTGATGGCTACCGCAAGATCGGGCCTGAGTGTGTGGGTGAGTCCAGGCCGGCCTCTCGAGTTCCTGCTCTAAGCCCCTGGCCCGGCTTTCACCCTGGCCTGACCTCTACTCCAACCCACTCCCAGGTAGAATTCAGCTTCACCCCAGTCCCCTGACACCTCTGCTATCCTGTCCACGAAACACAGAGGATTAGATGGTATAGGGGGACCTGGCTGACCTGGCTCAGCTCAGTTCCCCAGATGCTGACAGGACTATGGGTGGGGAGTCATTGAGTGGTGGAGGCTGGGCCCTGCCTGACTTCTGACCCTCGCCCTCTTTCCCCTGCCTCCCCCCCCAGACATAGACGAGTGTCGCTACCGCTACTGCCAGCACCGCTGCGTGAACCTGCCCGGTTCCTTTCGCTGCCAGTGTGAGCCAGGCTTCCAGCTGGGGCCCAACAACCGCTCCTGTGTGGGTGAGGCTGGGCCGGACAAGTCTCCTGGGTCCTGGGCAGGGAGGTGGGGCTAGGGGAGCCCCCTTCCTGACCAGCTCAGGAGGAGGGAGGGCTCTGGGCTGCTCCTCTGCTTTCACCCCTCCTCTGTTTTTGCTGGCACTCCCAGATGTGAATGAGTGTGACATGGGGGCTCCATGCGAGCAGCGCTGCTTCAACTCCTATGGGACCTTCCTGTGTCGCTGCCACCAGGGCTACGAGCTGCACCGGGATGGCTTCTCCTGCAACGGTGAGACCTCTGCTCCTGTCGCGTCTTCCTCCACTTTGTCCCCCAGGCCCTGCATTGTGGCCCGCCTCCTGCCACACAGTCCTCTGTGTGATGCCTCCATGTCCCATCCATCATTCTGCAGCCACACACCTCCTGTCTACCCTGCCCCAGGCTGTTGCAGGGTGCTTGCAGACCTGCCACCAGGAACTCCCAGCCTGGGGGAGAAGGCACAGAGGGGAACAGTGTAGTGCCCCCAGTGCTCACTGGGTAGACTGCACAGGGATGTGGGCACCACACTCCCCAGGAGTCAGTCGGCCCCGCGTTCGAATCCTGGACTAGGGCAAGTCATTCTTCTCTCTGAGCCCATTTCTTCTTCTCTAAAATGAGTTGTCTTGAGGGTTAAGTAAAAAAAGGAAAACATACACGGGCTTCTTCAAGTCCAAGCAGCAACACTAAAAAAAAAACAACCAAAAAACCCCAAACCTGTTGCCGTCGAATTGAGTAGATTTCAACACACAGTGACGCTGTAGGGCAGAGTAGAACTGCTCCATAGGGTTTCCAAGGCTGTAAATCTTTACACAAGCAGACTGCCACATCTTTCTCCCGTGGAGTGGCTGGTGAGTTTGAACTGCCGACCTTTTGGTTAGCAGCCGAGCGCTTTAAGCACTGCACTACTAGGGCTCCTAGAAACACTAAAGGGACTGCTAATTATTGAGGCCTTACCCAGTGCTGTGTGATGTACTTCCCTACTTTGCCTCATTTAATCCTGTCAACAACCCAGTGAGGTAAGTATGCTTTTTTCTTCCTCTGCAAAATGAGGACATTAATACTGCCCTCAAGGTTTGTTGGGAGGATTGAAAAACATAATAAGAATAAAGTCCTGCATAAATAGTGACTTTCATTATATAACGAAGAGAGGTTAGTGACTGCCAAGGTTACCCAGCTAGGGGTGAGATGGGGCCACGGCTCGATCCTGGTTTCTCATTCCATGTCAACTGGCATGTACCCTGTTTACGTTGTGCTTGCTGACAAGGAAAGCCTCATAGGTACCCGGCTCAGAGTAGAAAGCCTGGGCCCTGCCTGCATGGCTCACACTTGGCAGGGAGTGACCGAGTGCTTGGGCTGATTCTGGGTTGCAGAGATTGGGCAAGTACTGAAAACCAGGGCAGGCTGGACCCTCCAGATTCATCTACTCTAATCCACTCATTTTACTGACAGGGAAATAGAGGGTCCCTAAAACCAGTCAGTAGGATTCAAACCCAGGCCTTGAGATTCTTCTTACAGTTCTGGGGCAGAGCAAGAGGTCTGAGCTGGGGCAGTGTGGGAAACCTTGAATCTTCTGTCCTCCTAAAGTTTGGGGTGGCACAAGCGGTTTGTGCTTGACTACTAACCCAGCGGCACTGTGGAAGAATGGCCTGGCAATCTTCTGTAAGGATTATAGCCAAGAAAACCCTATGGAGCAGTTCTGCCCTGTAACACATGGGGGCACCATGAGTTGGAATGGACTCCAGGGCAATGGGTTTGGTTTTTATTAAGCCTGGAGGGCTATCGCATTCCCCTCTGACTTCCCTCACGTGTCTACCACGGGGCTGGGTTCTTTCAGTAAATGTTTGTGGAACTGAATCGAGAGGATTCCCTTGTCCCAAGAGTCCTCCCTCCTCGCCTTCAGGCCGGCCCTCCATCTGATCAACCCCACCTTTTCCTCAGATATTGACGAATGTAGTTACTCCAGTTACCTCTGCCAGTATCGCTGTGTCAACGAGCCAGGCCGCTTCTCCTGCCATTGCCCGCAGGGCTACCAGCTGCTGGCCACACGCCTCTGTCAAGGTACAGGTTGCCGGGGTGGGCTGGACAGGGTGGTGTGAGGGGCTGGTGGTCTGACGCCCGGGTTCCAGACCCTCCCCCCCTGGCACAGATATTGATGAGTGCGAGTCAGGCGAGCACCAGTGCTCCGAGACCCAGACCTGTGTCAACTACCATGGGGGCTATCGCTGCGTGGACACCAACCGCTGCGTGGAGCCCTACGTCCAGGTGTCCGACAAGTGAGTCGACTTGACGCCGGGCGCCCGCGGAAACTACAACTCCCAGCAGACTCTGAGGCTGACTGGCGTTTATCCGGGCGGGCGGGTGCCCCCGAGGGCTGACGGGAGTTGTAGTCCTTCATGATTAAAGCATGAGACCTGTTATGGCAGGAGTGGGAGGATCGATCCATCGTGCCCTCCTTTTGGGGGTAGGCAAGATTTGGGGGATGGGCTAGGACCTCATTCTTATCTCTTATTTTGGGGTTTCCAGCCGCTGCCTCTGCCCGGCCTCCAACCCACTGTGCCGGGAGCAGCCGTCGTCCATCGTGCACCGCTACATGAGCATCACCTCGGAGCGGAGCGTGCCCGCTGACGTGTTTCAGATCCAGGCGACGTCCGTCTACCCCGGCGCCTACAATGCCTTTCAGATCCGTGCCGGAAACTCGCAGGGGGACTTCTACATTCGGGTAAGGCCTTGCCGCCCCCACCCTTCAACTGACGTGCAAAATCCACCATTTAATTCCAGGAAGCCCAAAGTGGGAGACTCAGTTATGCCGCTAAACTACGCCCTTTCTCCAAAGCCCCCCGCCCCCCACCTCGGGGCGGGACTTCCCCGTGTAATACTGCAGTATTGCCTCTCTCTCTAGGCTGCCTCAACTTGGCCCCGCAGAGCTAAAACAGTGCCTAGAGCTGTGTAGGGCTGCCTTTTTACATGGCTGTGTCCCCACTGGACTGTGAGCTCCTTGAGTGCCGGGATCTGGTCTGATTCATGTCTATAGGTCTGCACCATGTGGGTAGGAAAGTAGGGGTGACCTAAATTCCCATGGTGCAATCTACAGGTTATTAAATACTGTTCTAAGGAGGCACCCGGACTCTGGGGTTTGCATCCCTGCCCTGAGTTACCCTGTCCGGCCTCAGTTTCTTCACCCACGTGAGTGGCATGGGAGGCCTTCAGGGAGTCAGAGAAGGGTGGGCAAGTGGAGCCGGGCCTCACCGAGAGCAGAGCAGCAGGGTTGGTGGGTGCAGCGGCCAGGGTCAGAGGATCCAGCTCTCTGCTGATGGGAGCTGTGAGGTGGGGAGGGCCCAGGTGTGGCTCACAGCGAGAGCTGAGGAGGGCAGGGGTCTCAGACCCATGGACCTCGTGCTGTATTCGGCTCGAAAATGGGTTTGTTTGGTATCAGTGCTTGTTTGTTCGTTTTGAAATGCAATGCTTTGAGGAGGAGTCTGCCTACTGCAGGCTGCCGAAGGCCCCACCACTCCCAAGTCTCACACCTGGCCTTGTTCACATCTACCTCACTGGTTAACCCTGGTTAGGCGAAGGAAGACCAGCTGGCAACAGTGGAAAGAGCATCAGGGGGTGATTTCTGAGCGCAGGAGCCTGGGTGCAGGAGGGTAGATGAGAGGACAGGGCAAGACCGAGACACACGTCACAGCCTGACCTGGGCTCTCCCTACCTCCCGGCCAGGTGGCATGGGTACAATGCGCAAGGGTCAGGAGGTGATGCTGGGCTAGGGTCCTGGCACATAGGTTGACACAATCTACGTGTCCCCCCACCCACTGTGCCCTGCAGCAAATCAACAATGTCAGCGCCATGCTGGTCCTCGCCCGGCCCGTGACGGGCCCCCGGGAGTACGTGCTGGACCTGGAGATGGTCACCATGAACTCCCTCATGAGCTACCGGGCCAGCTCTGTACTGAGACTCACCGTCTTCGTGGGGGCCTACACCTTCTGAGGAGGGGGTGAGGGGACCCTAAGGGAGTGGAGGGAGGAGCCTGGGGCTCAGGGAGGACTGTGTTCTAAAAGGGAAGATGCTGTTGTGAAGGTCAGAGAGAGAAAGGCAATAAAGGGAGAAAGAAGGAGTCCTGGAGGCTGAGGGGGGTGGGTAACACTGCAGTGATCCCAGACCGGGGAAAGGATGTGGGGCCAAGTCCACCTGAAGGGGGACTGTGTGCTCAGTGTGAGGAGGCCCTGCTGTTAGGAGCTGGGAGCCCCATCCACGAGGCTGGGGTTGGTCTGCATACCCCAGATGTCAGAATCACCCTGGTGGGAGGAGGTAATGAGGCCTCGGCCTGGAGACCGGGGCGTGGCTGGCTTGCTAGGGAACCCCTGCTCTGGGCAGTGCCAGAAGGCCCTGGGTTCCAGTCCCACCTCGGCCTCAAAGTATGAATTTGGATAAGCCCTAATAGTTCCCTGGGATTCAGTTTTCCCATCCATAAAATGAGGCAATTGGACTGTTAGCGGTTTGCAAACTTTTCTTTTTCAAGCTACAGAACTTCTTATCAAAAGAAATTTCATTCACTCAGAGACCCTTTGATGACATGAACTCGACTCAAAGTTGCAGTGCCCACTGAGTCCGCCTCCCTGGCGGCCTTGGTGCTCCACATGGAGCTCCAGGGGCCTGAGGAACTCAGTCTAAAACCGGACCAGATGATCTCCCCAATTCCTGCCTGGGTATTTTATAAGGCTCCTGCGGCCTGATGCTTCTATCCATAACACATAAAGCTATGAACGCTTAAGATTTTTATTGTAGCCCCAAAAGGTTCTAGTTAAAAGTCTGGCTAGCAGCCGGGTGAGGGGAGGGGAGGGGCAGGGCTCCATCTTGTGGCATGGCTCAGGTCAGAGGACCACAGCTACAATAGAGCTGGGACAAAGTCCTGCTCAGAGCGGGCCCCAGATTCCTGCAGGAAGAGAGGCAGGTGAGGGCAGGCCCTGTGCCTTGGGCAGCCCCAGCCCCCTGCCACTCCAAGTCCGTCCCCTTCCCTCACCTCTGCAGACGCCCACACTTAATGGTACTTAGCAGCATCTCCTGCTCCTTAGGAGTGGCACAGGCGTCATAGGCGGCCAGGAGGCTGGGGGTGGGGTGGGATGTTGGAATCTCTGAGGCTTGACCATAGCTGGCTGCTGGCCTGCTCAGAACCCGTCTCCAAGCCAGTGCCATGGGCGAGGGGCAGGAGGGGGTCCACGTGGGTCTGAGGGATCAGGATCACTGCCTGATCCGGAGCCTGGCACTCAAGGCCCTGCACCATCCCGCCGGCCTCCCTTCCTGCAGGCGCACGGGGACAGGACCAGCAAAGGTGCCAAGAGCTCCTGCACAAGATGCTCCCCGAGCCTGGGCATCCTTGGCCTGGCAAAATGGGCCATCTTCCCAGCCCGGCTCCAGGAAGCCTTCTCTGCTCTTCCAGGCCAATAGTCTCTCTCCCACCCGTGGCTTCTCCCAGTGCCTAGGACACGATCTGGTCCTGGCTGGTTCTGCCCTAACCTCTGTGAGCTCCCCTGGGTTCAGTCAGGTCGCCCGTCTCTGGGTCCACACAGTCCACACAGAGCTGGGCCCCCCACAAAGCACTGGCTGAGCTGAGTTCAATGAAGGGGCCCTCGAGGGCCTACCTGGCAGGGGTGCCGTACCGATCCACCAGAGCTGCCGCCTTCTCCCCACTCACTCCACGCACCTGCATCAGCTGACGTGCAAACACCTCCCGAACAGACTGGACCTGGGGGCGGGGCGGGCAGGGCCCAGGTCAGGGCTGGTATGGGGCCAGCCACGTTCGGGGGAACCGGGCAAAAGCAGTACCTTGTTCTTGATGGCTCCCGCGTTGAAGTCACTGAAGGTGAGGAGTGAGCAGAGAGGATTTGGGGAGGGCCTGGCCCCTGGTTCAGGGTCCCATGGGGTTCCCCAGGGGCGGCTGCGTAGGGTGTGGCCCTGAGAGGAACGGAGACTGAGGCCTGGCTGAAGCTCCAGGGGACAATACCCAGCCAGTCCTTGCCTGAACCCGGCCTCAGTCGGCCAGCCTGAGAAATGGGGATCCCATCCGCCTCACCTCCCTCAGAAGAATGCAAGCCAGTGCTGAGTGGGTACATCTGCTCACCTGGTAGAGTCTCTGCAGGCCCCGCGTCAAGAGGGCCAGGTAGGCAGCTGACTCTTTAATGTCTGCTGTGCGCTTCACAAAGAAACCATCAATGACCTGGGAAAAGGGCCCAAGAGAAGGATGGGGCTCCTGGGCAGAGCCACCAACCATGGGGTCTGTGCCAGTCTGGCCCGCCCTCCAGCTCACCTGAGTGTTGGTGACAGCCTGCAGCAGGGTGCTCTCAGGAAGGCTGAGGTTGTGGACGGAGCCATGCTCCTCCACCAGGTATACCCGGCGCCCCAGGCCACAGCGCTTCAGCCGGAACTGGGGAGATGGGCAGAGGAGGCAGGGAAGGTCCCACAGTCGTCACGTGACTCTGAGTCCCCGTTCATCCTTATCCTCTCCGCCAGTCTCAAAGCAGCCGCCGTCCCTTTGCTCATGCCGTGACTGGCCTGAAATGCCGTTCCACCCTCCCTCAGCGTTCCCGTCCTTTGAGCTCCCCTTCCGTCCACACGTGGTCTCTCTGACTATAAGGCAAGCCCAGCGACCAGTACTGGACGTGGCCTCTGCCGTTCTCCTTCTGGAGATCAGGGCCTTATTTATCCAAGACTACGTGGCCTGGCTATCCAGGGGTGTTTGCTGTGGCCCTCCGCCCAGCACAAGCATCCTGCACACCAGCACACTGCGTGTGCCTGGTGGGCCTGGTCCCAGGGCTGCCCCGGAGCAGCTCTCTCGGGGTGTGGCCAGCTGTGGGGACTCTGCTTCAAGGAGGCCACCCAGAAGTACCCCTGGATTCCTCTGGGCTGAGGCAGCATCCCTGGAGCTGTGGGGCGTGTCCCAGGGCAAGGGGCATTGGGCGAGGCCGGGGAGCGAACCTTCTGCTCGTGGAAGCGGCCGTCGATGATGCTGCTGCACAGGTCGTCCAGCCGCTTACGCTCCACGACGTGGTCCAGCACGAGCTCGCTGGGCCTCGCTGCCAAGGGGCCAAGGAGGGTCTCGGCTCATGTCCCCCCACCTGCCAGGCCTGGCTCTGACACCCACCCACCTGGGGCCCCTTACCTGGGTCTCTGGGCCTGGTCTCCTGTGCCACCCACACAAAGTCCCCGACGTGCAGCTTTCGGACCGTGTGGCTCACGTGCAGCCGCTGTAGCTCACGAAGCAGCTCCGGCCTGTGCCCGGCCCTGGAGTTTTGTGGCAGGGGCCTAGGTCAGGACAGGCCAGGAGCCCCCCGACAGCATCCTGACTGCTCCTCCTCCCCCACTTGGCTTACCCTGTAGTCTCGCTGACATCCACACACAACAGCACCCTGTACTCTCCAGGCCCCAGCTCCAGTGGTGGCTGCTGGCCCCCCCCTTCGCTGGCACCACTGTGGGAAGAGGGGTTGGGGTGTGAAGCGAGAACCCCCAGTGCCAAGGCAGTCCCCTTCTCCTCCCTACAGGCGGTGGAGCAGCCAGAGCTCAACTGTAGGTATGGAGATGGCAGTGCTGGCCTCATTTCAGGGAGCCCTCGTGCTCCCCCACCCCTCCCACTCACAGCTTGGCCGAGGCTGCTCCTGGCACTTCTGGCTCCTCCCTGGCGGGCTCCTCTGGCCCTGTGCCCGCATTCAGTGAGCTCAGGCCCTCTGACTCAGCCAGCTTCTGGGCCAGTTCCAGACCCTCCAGGGTCAGCGAATACCTAGGAGACAGAGATGAACACAAGTCTCCCTTCTTCACTCAAACTGGGCAGGCTCTCCTGCCAGCGCCCAGCTAGGCTGGCCATGCCACCCCCTCCGCAACCCTGCACAAGCAAGCCAACCTCCCCCCACCCCACCATGTTCTTGTTTCTGTATGATCAGCTTAGCTTCCTCCGGATCTTCTCAGCACTATTTCTCCCGTCTGCAATATGTATGTCCCAAATTTTCCTTCTTCCCGGTTCTTGCTAATGCTGTCCCCTCCCCTGGAATACCTTCCCTGTATCCTACCCACTGAATCCCATGGCATATCAAGTGTCACCTCCTCAGCAAAGACCTCGTTTCCCCAGTAATCTGTGGCACCCCTCCGCCCTCCCAGGCCCTGCCTTGTCTCTCAGACCCTCCAGGTACCCTGACAATGTGGGACCACAGTGCCCAGCAAGAGACCTGGGCCTTGCTGAATGACTGCAGGCCCCGCTAAGAATGCCAGGTCTGTTCCCTCCTCCCCACATCCCTTGCAGCTGGCTCCACCTGGCAGGCTGGTGTGCTCTGAGGACAAGGTTCCGGTTGAGGAGGGATCGGAGGGCTGGCCAAGATCGAACATTTGCAGGGACCACCTATAGACAGGGGAGGAGATCCTCAGGGAACCACTGGTACCCACCAAGTGTCTACACCCCCTCTGCCCCCCAGCCCTGGGCCAGGCCCCACACCACTGCTTGCATCTGAGAAGGGCAGTCTCTGGGGGGCTGAAGGTCAGACTCAGAGTTGCTCGGCTCATCCTCCCCCCACCACATGCTCACCCTGGGAGCCTTCTGGGCACATCTCTGCAGCAGTTCCTCCTTGGTTAGGAAGCTACAGCCACTAGGATTCTGAAATCAAGGCAGAAATGACAAGGGGGGTTCAGTGCCTGGGCTCCTCCGTACTGTGCTCACCCCTTTTAGGCACCCCAGACCCCTACTCGCCCGGCCCTAGTGGCTGGATGTTATTTACCACCTTGCCCCAGCCAGCCTTCTTCAGGAGCCCCCGCGCCACTCCCTCTGCCCCCAGGTGCTCACCAGGTGCTCCTGGTAGAGCAGCAGCAGCACAGCGCGAGCTCCTGAATGCCGGGCTGGCCAGTAGCCGCCAGAACCTCTCGATCTGGGCTGGGCTGAAACCTGAAAGGTACAGAGAAACTCTGAACCCAACAGCCAATCACTGTTGCTGACTGCCTGGCTGCGCCAGGACACCTGAGCTTCAGGTTCTCTTTCAGCAGACCCAGGGCAAGTCACTCAGCTGTCTCTCGCTTTTCTTATCTGTAAAATGGGCCAGATAGTAGGAAGATCCTCTGCAAAGCTCAGATGTGACAGCGGGCCACGGTGGGGTGGGGGAAGGTGGGGGTTGCCTGGCCCAGCCTCAGTTCTCCAGGCCTACCACCCTGGGCTGCAAAACTCAATAACAGCAATCTCCGCAACTTACTGGCCTGGGGTCCCTAAGTAGCTTGATCATGGAACTCTGAATAACTCTATTGGCAATACTCTTATCTACAGATCAGAAAATCGAATCCCAACATAAGTTACTTGTTTGAGCCCAGCTATCACTGATGTAGCTCTTTGGACCCTGGACTGCTTAACTCAAACTTTCCTCAAAACCTTCCGCAGCCCCTGAAAAAGACAACCACCAACAGCAGGAAATATCACTCCCGGTACTGCCACCTCCCTTGCCATTCCCCCTTGTTCCGTACTCACCGGCAGGGAAGGGTCTTGGGCTTCCGCAGCTGGCCCTTCCGGGGCTGAACTTTTCTCTCCAGATGGTGAGACCGGGGTATGGTCACCTGTGGGGGCAAAGGAGAGTCAATCCCGGACCCCACAGAATCTGGCAGGCAAGGAGGGGCTGGAACGCAGCCTGCTCAAGCGGTACGGGAGAACAATGAGGCTCGGAGAGAGCCAGCCGCTAGTCCGAGTTCAGACAACTTGGACAGGAGTGGGGCGCTTGAAGCCAAGGTATCCGAGGGAGGTACGCACGCTGCATCTGGTGGGGCAAAGGAAGACTGACCCTTGCCCCCGGCGCTCACCGCCCGAGGCTCGGTGCTGCTGCAGCCGCTCGTCCAACATCCGGCAGAGCCCGTCTCCGAAGTGCTGGAGAATCTTAGCTTCCTTCCCGCTGCGCAGGGGCAGCGGGTACCGCTGGAGAGAGCGCAGCGCCTACAGAGGGCAAGGGGTGCGGTCAGGCAGGCCTTGACATCCAGCTCGGCCAGCGTCCGCCTCCATCAGGCCGGCCGGGGCCCCACCTTCTGAAACACGAAGCGTGTGCGGCGCCCCCTGCTGGTTGCCTCGTCCCGCCACTCGGTCAGCCAGCGTACGAAGAGCGGGTTGGGGCAAACCGGCAGCGGGCGCTTCCGGCCCAGGCGGACGGGCGCCGCCATGGGCCCGGGGGCCGGCCCTTGGGCGCCTCACGCCGGCGGAACTAGAACAACGCCAGCTCCGGAGTTGGGATCCGAAAACCTAGCTGTGAGACGGCGGGGCTTCTCCAGTCACGTGTTCCCACGCGGGCACTAACTTGGGGATCGCCTCCCTTCCCTACCCCCCCCCCGCCCCTGCACTATCCTAAGTGGCCGCTTAAGAGCGCTGTCTCTACTGCCCAGCGCACCGAATCAGCCTTTGGACACGCCCTACCTAGGCCCCTGGAGCCTAGACCCCGCCCCTTCCTCCCAACCCAAATTCGAGAGCGGGCCCCTCTGCGTGCAGGCGAAAGGAAGGCGGACAGCGCCCCCTGTGGCTGGGAGGGCCGGCCGGGGACGTGCTTAACAGAGTAATCTGAGCTTGGCTTCTTGAAGGTCCTGCTGGCACTTTCAGCCTCACCCTTTCAGAGGATGGGGAGGGGGACTGGGCTTGAAAAGAGCCCAGGAGAGGCGGAGGATGCAGGTATATTTGCCAGAGGGGCATGGGGGGGGGGGTGCAGGGCATGAGGACACAAAGCTAAGGCAGGAAGAGTTGAAGGATCTTCGGAGGAAATGTTGATCACGAACTGGGGGACATGGGACAGAGTGGGGGACGCGAAGTTGGGGACAGGCAGAAAACACTGAAGCTAGGAGGATGCGGAAGTCAGAAGGCTGGTAGAAAGGGGTCTTTAAGTAGGAGGTGCTGGGCATCCTTAAAGACGGAGGCGCATGGCTGGATCCAGGGAAGCAGGTAGGGGTAAGAAGCCAGGACAAAGGTAGAAGGGTAGAAGGCTTCGTTGTTTCTGTGGCTCATTGGAGGTAGGGAACCCTCAGGTGGATTGATTAAAGGTGGGAATTCTGCAAAGTGGTCCCAGGTTGAGGGGGCGTACAAAGGATTGGACACGGGGGTCTCGCCGGGGGGCTGGAGCGCACCGAAAGTCGCGAGGTGCAGCTCTCGGGCCTGCGAAGGCCCTTCAGGCCCACCCCTCCTGACTCCGCCCAGCCCACGATCCAGCATCCCCAGCCTGCTTGGGCCTCCGGCCTCCTGCCCGACGCGGCCTTATAAGGAGTCTGGAGCCGGCGTTCGGACTGGCTCCGCCCCCTTCAGTCTCATGCCCTAATAAGGACATCTAGGGCATCCTGCGGCCTGGGGGTGAGCGGGAGCGCGTCTCCAGGGTAACTGTGAATACCCCCCCTTCGTTGCTCTTGGAAACTCTGAGGCTCGAAAAAGGTGGAACCAGGCTCCCCTCTGACTGGGGTGCTGGCGGGAGGCAGGGGTCGAGCTGCAGCCTCCACCTGGGGCTCCTGGGAGCTCGGCTGGTAGGTGGTGCTGCGGGAAGTCTCCGACTACAACCTCCGGCATGCTCTGCGAAGCACCCCACTCCCGGGCGTTGCTCCTAGGGTTGTGAAGACTGGGCTGCTCACTTCTGCTTACACTTTGTATTCTGCTTATGAGATCAAAGCCGTCAGTTCCGTTTCTGGGTATGCCTCTGACTTGTCTGCGACCCTTGTCTTGCAGAGTATGCGGTCATGATCATCGTTCGGGGCCAACGAAGTCTTCCCTGAGTCCCCCACCCCAAACAGTTCCGTTTTATTTAGGTTTATGCTCCCACAGAGCTTGTGTTTCAGTTTTGAGGGTCCTAGCTTAATCATCTACCTGACCTCGTTCAAGTCTGGTTTAATATATATTTCCTCGCTGCCTAGTAAAAGATACAAAGAATCCTTGAGTTGAAATGTACAAGCCCCTTTATTGCCTCGTGAATGATGTCGGCGAAGCATCTTTAAACAAGGACAAAGCCCTTCCGAAGTTTTTCCTCCTGGTAGCCTTTCGTGTGTGTGTTCTATTTTTATTTTATTAAAGTTGTATGTGGCCTTTTTTGAGAAGACAAGAGTGGCTTTGCATACGGAGGGTGCTCAATGAGTGTTCATTGGATTGAAGCCGCCTTATCCTTGCGATTCTCCTTGTTTTAAGACTGGATTCCAGACCAATGGACAGTTGTTTCAATTCAGAAAAGCAAAATCCTCATCCCACTAAAAAGTACCACACTAAGGGATCCAGAAAGTGCCAAGTTAGGTATTATGAAAAACCGTTTCGCTCAAGGGTGAGAGGCCGCGAAATCGGGGTTCATTTTTGTGTTACCCTTAAAGTGCGCCAGGGCCTATTGCTCAGCTTGGAACGTTTCCTGGGAAACTCCACCAGTGGGCGCGCGCTCCGTGCCCTTAGCCCCAGCCCCTTCTGCTGCCTCGGACTACATTTCCCGGCATGCAGCGCGGAGCCGGGAGGCCGGCTGATGACAAAGTCAGCTACCCCGCGAACCCGAAGACGATGCAGAACTCTAGGACTTCATTTCCCGTCGGCCCGCGGGGGGAGCGCCGGAAGCCCGCCCCGCCCCTCATTGTGCGGCTCATACTAAACGGAAGGGGCTGGGAGAGGCCGCGTTCAGTCGGATCCCGGCAGCAGCTGCAGCGGCTCTCGTTTTCTCTGCCTCTTTTTGCCATATCCCTTTCGCTTCCGCAAACATGGTGAGCGGCAGGCCGCGGCGCCCGAGGGGAGGTGGCTGCGGGTCGGTTGTCTGAGCGCGCGGGAGGGGACGGGGGAGCGACGTCGGCACCCCCTCCTCCAGCGCTGCGGGCGGGACGAGGGTCTCGCGCTGAGGGGCGGGCGGC